TTGCCCCTGAGGGAGACCCGGATGCACCAGACATCCCGACTCCGCGTTCTTACGCGGAGGCCGTAGAGGGTCCCTACTCCTCTCAGTGGCAGGCAGCTATGGATGCAGAGATGGCTTCCTGGAAGTCCACAGGCACCTACGTTGACGCGGTTCCCCCTCCTGGGGCGAACATCGTCAGTGGCATGTGGATCTTCAGGGTGAAGCGGCCGCCGGGCTCTCCACCTGTCTTCAAGGCACGGTACGTTGCTCGTGGCTTCAGTCAGCGGCAGGGAGTTGACTACTTTCAGACCTTCTCTCCCACCCCGAAGATGACCACTCTTCGGGTGCTGCTGCACATAGTCGCTCAGCGCGACTACGAGCTTCACTCTCTCGACTTCAGCACTGCGTTCCTGCAGGGTAGCCTGCACGAGGAGATCTGGCTGCGCCGTCCACCTGGCTTCACTGGGACTTTCCCTCCTGGCACCCAGTGGAGCCTCCGACGGCCAGTCTACGGTCTCCGCCAGGCACCGCGTGAGTGGCACGACACACTGAGGACTACGCTTGCGGCTCTTGGGTTTGCTCCTTCTACTGCTGACCCGTCGCTGTTTCTGCGCACCGACACTTCACTGCCGCCGTTCTACATCCTCGTGTACGTCGACGACTTGGTCTTTGCCACAGCGGACACTGCTGGACTCGCCTACGTGAAGTCCGAACTGCTGAAGAGACACACGTGCACAGACCTGGGTGAACTGCGCAGCTACCTTGGCTTGCAGATCACTCGGGACAGAGCACGTCGCACCATTACCTTGACTCAGTCACACATGGTGCAGCAGGTCCTTCAGCGCTTTGGCTTCACGTACTCCTCGCCTCAGGCCACTCCTCTGCCTACTCGCCACTCACTCACAGCTCTGCCTTCGGATGAGTCCGTAGAGTCGAGTGGTCCGTATGCAGAGCTTGTTGGCTGCCTCATGTACCTGATGACCTGCACACGACCTGACCTTGCATACCCTCTGAGCATTCTTGCACGCTATGTTGCTCCTGGGAGACACAGACCAGAGCACATGGCTGCAGCGAAGAGGGTATTGTGCTACCTGTGCAGTATGTCGGGCATGGGGCTAGTGCTTGGAGGGCGGAGTCCAGTGGTCCTTACCGGCCACGCGGACGCTTCTTGGGCTGACGACCAGGCTACGCAGCGGTCGTCACAGGGTTACACCTTCAGCCTTGGTTCCGGCTCTGTCTCGTGGCGGTCTACTCGCTCGTCTTCGGTTCTCGGCTCCAGTTGTGAGGCTGAGATTTACGCCGGGGCCATGGCTGCACAGGAGCTTCGCTGGCTCACCTACCTGCTGACCGACCTTGGAGAGCCACCTCGTTCTCCTCCAGTGCTGTACGTAGACAACAAGGCCATTCTGGCCTTGTGTCGAGAGCAGCGCTTGGAGCACAGAACGAAGCACATTGCTCTCCGCTACTTCCTTGCTCGTGAGCTGCAGCAGCGTGGTCAGTTGCGACTTGCGTACGTGGGCTCTGAGGCCAACACTGCTGATGTGTTCACCAAGGCACTCGCGCCTTGTGACCATCAGCGCTTTTGCACCCAGCTGGGTCTTGTGCCTGTCTTGCCTCACTTGCTCTCCTCTTGACTTCACTTGTACTGTGACATATATATATACCTGCTCTTGCTTGTCTAGTTTTATATATATGTCTGTACTCCTGCATGTGAACTGGCCTCTGGCCCTGCTCTTGTGCTCGGACTGTGTGGTGACTTTGTGATCCACCCTGAGCTTGCTTTGCTTTGCTTGACTGGTCTTGTGACCCCTTGTTCTCCCCCACTTTGCCTATGGGGGTGTGTCAAACATTATATATGTTCTGCTTGTGTAGGCTACAGTGGGTTAGCCTATAGGGGGTACACAATTCTAGGGTTTCCTACTTGTACCCATTTCACTGCTAGTTCATTCATTCCTGTTCGCTTATTCTCACAGTATTTATCCAGCCGTTCAGCTTCCGACATGTCATCGACTTGGTCGGCGAGGCTCATAAATGACGCCGTGTAGTCTTGGACAGAAGCCATCTGCGACCATGCACGCAACTTCATGCGAGCTTGCTCCGAGGCGGATACGTGCTCGAAGCGACCTCGTAAGGCTGCGCCCCACTCCTTCCACGTGCGTATCGTGGTCACTCCGAAGATCGACGTTGCCACTTGATTAGTCACTGTAGAGGTCCCGTCTGCCGCATGTGTCACACCTGTCGGCGTCCCTGTTTCCAAGGTTCGGCGCCACCACTCAAGCGCTGCACCTCGAAGAAGCGAAACTGCGTAATTAATACGCGTGGCGTTGTCATTAACTCCGGCTGCAGTAAAAAAGACTTCGACCCCGAACTACCACCCTTTTACCGTAACCGTCTTGTCGGTAGGATTAAACGGGGGTGGATTGACGGGCTTGATCTTGATCGTTGTCACTGCAGCTGGAGCTGCTGCCGCTCGCTGCCTATCCTCCTCTTCGAAGTCACGTGTGAGCACATCCAATGGATTGCTCATCGCCTGACTGTTGCCTTCGCCTTCGTCCACAGGCGACTCCTGACGCGCTTCACCTCGCGTCTGGCGTAGTTCGGCGTTTTCCTCTCGCAGTGTCGTCACTTCCGCCATTAACGTCTTCATGCTTTCCTGCATTTCTGCCACTTGCGCCATCATCCTGTTGACCGCTTCCTGATCCATATGCTGTCAAAATAATATATAATTCTATATATTGCTTTGTAACTTCCTGTAGTGTAGATTACTGTAGTCATGTAACTTTCTGTATGGTGGTGCACCTTTCTTCATTCTTGCCTATTTGTACTGCTCACTCTATAGTGAACATCCTCTCTTTTGTTGCCATCTTCTCTACTCACCCAAAACTCACTCGAACTCAACCCTTCCTACTCGAACTCTACTAGCTATGGCTCCCAAGCCTTCCTAAATTCTCAACATATGCCTAACGCTACGTCTGGTGGGCAATCGGGTCTCCGTGGCCTTCAGGCAAATGAAAACACGAACTATCGGAGTCGGGCAGGATTGAATTAACAATCCCTGCAGCCAACCGTCGTGTAGTCACTAAACCAGCCATAGCCTATGCCACCAAACTACCCTCGGAAAAGCGGGGTGAACTAGGAAAGTAGCTCTGATACCAGGTGTTATGAGTTGTAAAAGAGAGTGCGCATGTAAACGAATAACGAAGCTGTGACTGAATCAACTGCGAATACAATGAATGCACAGACTAATGTAGGACTACTCTAGCTAGGAGGAAACCTCGGACGAGCGAGGTTGGGTGCAGGTTTGGCGATGGGAAAGCCGAAGGCGACGTGAGGAGCCTCGGCAGCGTTGAAATCGGCCGAACGTGCGAACTCCGAAAATCGGGTTGTACGCGAAGTAGTCAACCCCGATAAGGAATTCGGGAAAATTCCTTACACTATGGAGCTGGGATATACTTTCCCTATACTTACTGTTGGGTAAAGCCCTATCCTACACTTCTCACATATGTACTTCAAAGGGCAGTAGTATCATAAGCTATGACTTAGAGGCAAGAACATGGTATATGGGTAAAAATACTATGGTATGAGTGTCTAAACTTTTTCTCATCATATTTCACCCATGATTCCCATTCTAGTTAGTTCGATCATAAAGGTTCGGACAATTTTTAACAGAATATTATTGGCTTTAATGAAAGAATTTCCTACTTGAGAATTGGCTTGTTGGCTCGGCGTATTTCTTGGGCCACAGCTTTCAAAATACCAGTCCTTAACGATGAGTGACACAAACAGTGCATATATATTATAGCCTGACAAAATTTATCGATTTAATAATGAGCTGCTTTTTACAGAGTACGTGTGCCAAAAAACCTATCTGCACTCGTTGTCGTGCTTGCGCCAACCTTCCCAACCAGGCGACACCAACCTCATCATGAGTACAGTAGCTTCGCGTTGCATCACCCTGGAGCATTCGTGAACGGGCAGCAGCAATCAGCAAGCGGGCAGCACTTCCTGCAGCTAATCCCGCTTCTTTGCTTCTACAGTGACGCTAGCCTTGTCCTCAAACCTTATGCTGGCATTTCCCGCCGCAAAAATCAACACCTGTCCCGCATTCTTGTGCAACCCACCCAGCTTTTGCGACTGGCTCGGCCTCCATTCAAGCTGCGCCGATTTTCGCGCATGTACAGTTTCTTCCCCTTATGGGCTGTCCCCGCAGTTCGTCCAGACATGGTCCAGTCGGGTTCAGTAAGTTTCTACCTGGTAAAACATCTGTTTACTCTCACCACCGTAGTAGAACATTGAAGACCGTGTAAAACCATATGGCAAACGACACCCTTCCGCCTAGCCCACATCCGTGCTCCCCCCCTTCCCCCTCCCTCCCCCCGTACACCCCCGCTTCCACCCTCCCCCGTCATGTGTCACCCCGGACTCCCCACCCATCCCTTAGTTCCGCCAACCTGTCCCCCCTGCCATACACAGCAACCCCTCCCAACAAAATGGTTTGCGCACTTACTGCAGCTAGCGATGCCTTTCGAAGGCAAACCCTAGAAGCATTGCTCACTGGGAACTAAATAGTACGCAAAATCGACTTCATTGATGCCGTGAGTTGTTTTTCGTTGGTATCAGATAAGGTGATAAAGTCAAGGACGGAATAAAGTTGCTGGATGGCCAAAAGGAGCAGGAGAATTTCCTCGGTTGAACCACTACCATGTACACCTGGTTGATGGCTGGATCTGGACTCATGTGTACGCGTTATGAGGCTGCGTTAGTCAACCCAACCAAGTTCGTAGCCTGTTGGTTGAACTCTCATCCTATCACAAGGTCTCTGAAGCGCTGTGAACAGGGCAATTGCTGTACCATGTAGGCCGAGGCATTTCGTTTATCCCACGCAGCATCCTGCTTCGTCAGCTCTGTCTAGTACCTCGTTTCCAAGCACCGCACGACCCGTCGTATCCCCGTTCCGCCATTTATTCGACCCGGTTCCGCGAGCCGCTACATCTTACACCGTCAACCTGGCGACAGCAGCCATGGCGCGTAACCGGGGCAGTCCCCGCAGCTCCGGTCAGCTTGCGCCACTTGGGGAAGGGGAGCAGCAGCAGCAGCAACAGCAGTGGACAGACGCAACCTGGCAGCAACAGGCTAACCGCTTAGCGTCCACGTCAGCGTCCGACAGGGCAGGGGAAGACAGTGGCAGCTGCGGCAGTGGTAGCGAGAGCGGCGGGGAGGCGCGAAGCAGAGAGGCTTCAGGCAGGCCGCGTGGCCGCACGTCGTTTGAAGAGAAAGGAAAGAGAGTTAAAGGTTCTGCCGATGATGGGGATGAGGACGAGGGTGAAGATGCGCGGAGCAGCGGAGGTGCGAGGGCAGGTGGGGAAGCAGCCGGGGGAGGAGGCGGAGGCGGAGGCGGAGGCGGTGCAAGAGGCGGAGTCGGGGGTGAGGGACGTTCGAGCGAGGGAGAGTTTATGAGATTGGAAAAGGACGCGGCTATAGGCTTGCTGGCACGAGAACTTTTAGGAGGCGGTATTACTAGTAGTAGCAGCGGTAGCAGCCGACCGGACTCGGCAGGGTACGAACGTAGTCTTAGCGACGTAGCGAACGCGACGCGGCTAGCGCGGTTGCGCCTAGACATCCCGTCCGATGGCATTAGTCGGGCAAGCAGATTTAGAGAGACGGACTCAGACGCCGAGGCGCGATTGGCAGACGATCGGAGCGGTGCGGATCGTAGCCGGCTCTTGCGCGGCCAGTACAGTCACCTGAGGCAGCAGCAGCAGCAGCTGGAACAGCATACGTCCTTAGGATCCTCAAGTCTACGAGGCTCCGGTTTAGGCGCCGCAACTGCCGCCGTAGGAGCCGCGCAGCTGGATTTACTATCGGTGGAGCTGCGTGTTCTGGAAGCGCGGTTGCAATCGGCGGGGGAGCAGGTGGAGCAGGAGAGGCGGGGGCGGGAGGCGGCGGAAATGGAGGTGCAACGGATGGCGCGCGAGATGATGCGCGCGGAGGAACAGCTTGTGCTGGCGGAAGCGGAGCGACAGCGCATGGCTGGTGGGCGGCATGGGGTGGCATGGGCCGGCATGGGGTGGCATGGGCCGGCATGGGGCGGCATGGGCCGGCATGGGGCGGCATGGGGCGGCATGGGGCGGCACGGGGCATTCCTCTGTAGTGCCATGCTTGTAGTTGGAACCAAATTTCCTTGAGCAAGGAGGGGGGGACGGGACGTGAAGCGGTGGTGTGGTTGGGAAGCCGAGGGCGTTGTTTTGAGCACCGTTCCGCTCCCGCTCCTGTCAATTCCGTACTCCTGTCGTTATTATTGTCTTCCTTATCTAGCAACTCCGCCTACCTTGCTGCGGCTCGTTTCACCTTCCTCTCTCGCTAGGCAATCACTCCTCCCTAACATACCTCCCTTGCGCTCCCTCCTTTTCCGTTCTCGACCCCTCCCTTCCCGCCACCCCGCTTCCCCGCTCTCACCTCTCCCCCCCTTTCCCCCCATCCTCCTCCGAACTCGCCCGCCCGTCCCCCCTGCGCAGAGGCTCTGGACGAGCTAAGCATGCAGCTGATAGCCACACGCAATCTTCTCACCAGCGCGGAGGAGGAGCGCGCGCAGCTGGCGGTGGCGGCGTCCGAAACCGCCAAGGAGCGCGACCTGCTGCGGCAACAGTGCGACGAGCTGCGCGCCGCGCTCGACCAATCAGGCACCTCCACGTCATCGTCAGACTCCAGCAACCCGCCCGGCGGAGGACCGGGTGGCGTGGCGGCGGCAACAGCGGCGACGGCGGCTTCCGCGGGCGGGGGAGTGGGCGGCGGAAGAACGGCGGGACAAAGCGTGGAAACCCTGGCTGTCGCGGCGCTGTATAACGAGCGGGAGCGGCTTATAGAGCGGATACAGGACCTTGAGATGCGGTGGGGGCAGTGTCAGGAGGAGCTAGGGCAGTGTTTGGAAGAGAAAGAGCAGCTGCAGATAGAGGTGGGCGCGGCAGTTGCGCGCGCCATGGAGGAGCGACAGGAGTGGGTGGAGAGAGTAACTACCGTGGCGCGCGTGGGGAAGGAGGAGATGCAGCGGCGCGTGGCGAAGCTCCTGGCGCAGCGGGACGAGGCGGAGCGGAGCGCCAGGGCCGCGGAGGGGAAGGTGGCGGGGCTGCTGAACCAGCTCGCGGCGGTGGCGGGCGGAGGGGGAGGCGGAGCGGGGGGAGGGGGAGCGGGAGGGCTGGGGATGGGCGTGGGAGATGGGTATGGGGGCGCGGGCGGGCAGGACGGTGTGTGGGTGGGCGTGGGGGGGAAGGGGTATGGGCAGCAGCAGCCACAGCTGACTCGCGCCAGCACGTCAGATAGAAGACGGTACGGCTGTGCTTGTTGGCTGTGTGTTGTTGTTTCCCAGCCATCACCACCTCCGCTCCTCCCTCCCTTCCCGGCCCCATGGAACCGGGGACTACATGCGGTGGGACTGCTCTTGACCTTCCTAAGAAAGGACCCTCCTCCCCACACTCCCGTCCTCTCCCCTCCTCCATGCTCTTGGGCCGTTCCCCCGCCAGGAGCCCCTACGGCCGCCGGGAGCACCGGTGGTGGGACCGCACGTGGCCGACACGGCCACGCGGCGAGTCTCTTAACAAAGCCGTCAAAAGTACCATTCCTTTCCGTGGCTGTTTGCTGAACAATGCCGTTCTCCCGCTCCACTCTCCCTCTCTCTCTCTCTCCCTCTCCCCCCAAACCCCAGGAGCCCCTACGGGCGCTTTGACTACACGCGGTGGGACCGCACTTTCTAAAAGGAACCGCCCTCACTGTCCTCCTTGCTCCGTCCCCCCCTTCCCGTTCCCCCAGGAGCCCCTACGGCCGCAGGGACTACACGAGGTGGGACCGTTCCCGGCCGCGATCAGACCGCTACGTGGAGCGAGACAGGCTCTCCGACTCCGTCGTCATCTCCTCCTCCTCCCCCGGGGGCACCGGCGCCGCCAGCACCTCTTCGCACTACCCCTACTACGACCGCAGGGATTACACGCGGTGGGACCCTTCTTGGAACTTCCTCAGGGTAAACGAAAACCCTCTGCTCCCCCCTCTCTTCCCCCCTTTTCCCGCACTCCCCTCTACCCCCCATTCCCCACCCCCCCAGGAGCCCCTACGGCCGCAGGGACTACACGCGGTGGGACCGTTCCCGGCCGCGATCAGACGGGTACGTGGAGCGAGACAGGCTCTCCGACTCCGTCGTCATCTCCTCCTCCTCGGGGGGTGGGGGAGCCACGGGCGCAGCCAGCACCTCGTCCCACTACCCCTACTATGACCGCTCGCGCTTCCGCGAGGGCCGCGCACGCAGCCACCACGGCCGCCGGCAAATGTCAGACGGGGCTTCTGCTTCTTCTCTCGATGACTCGTCGTCCACAGGGAAAGGCGCGCTCTCTGCCCCCCCGCCGTCGACATCGGCTGCTGCTGCCGCTGCTGCGGCTGCCGGTGGTGCTGGCGCTGCTGCTGCTTCCTCCCCTGCTACGCCGTCTTTTGCTAGCTCGATTTTCTCCTCACTGTTCGGCTGGGGGGGGTCGAGCCTGTCCCCGCCGTCGACCCAGCAGCAGAAGCAGCAGCAGCAGGGGGGGTTGGGAGCAGCGATGGGCGGGGCGGGCACGGGTGGGGGAGGAGCGGGAGGCGGGCATAAAGTGGTGGGGGTTGCAGGGAGTGCACCTGGGAGTGTGTATGATGACAGATCGTCTACTACTTATGGGAGTAGCATGCGGCGATACAGCAGCGGTGCTTCTGCTAGTGGGTCGGTGAGAGGACGCGGCGGGTACGGGTATGGTGGCGGCAGCGGCGGGGGGATGGATGGAGCAGGGTATAACGACCAGGGGTATGGGCTGAGAGGAGTGGGAGTGGGAGGGGGAGGAGGAGGAGTGGGAGGGGATGGAGGGGGTCCGTACTGCCGAGTGATGGTGCCAGCAGCAGCGGCGGCGGCAGCAGCGGGACTCCCTGGGTGGTCAGCGGGAGGGAGGGATGGGGAGATCAGACCTGTTCCAGAGGGAAACGTGGAGGGCCAGGATTGGCTGTCGGATCAATCGGGCGGCACGACTATGGATGAGGTTGATGAGGTGCTGAGACAGATGGGAATATCGCCAGATGATACTGTGTGGAACGGGGGGGAGGGGGATGCGGGCGGGGGGAGGGAGAGAGGAGGGGAGGGGGGGTTGTCGCGGTATGGAGACAGAGTGAGGGACAAGGCGAGGGAACGGGCGAGAGGAGGGGGTGCGAGGGAGGGGAGGGAGAGCGAGGGGGATTGGGGGAGGTTGAGTGTTGGAGGGGGCGGTGTAACAGGAGGAGGAAGCATTGCGTCCGGAATGGGAGGAGGGGCAGGAGCAGGGGGGCTGGGTGTGGGGAGCGAAGGAAGAGGCGGTGAGGATGGGTACAGTGAGGTGGACGGGGGTGTTGGTGGTGCGGCCTCGAGTGCACTAACCGTGGCAGCGAGTGCTGGGTCTAGGACAGCGTTGAGACGGCTAGCAGCAAAGAGGGGGCAGTTGCCACCCAAGAACAGCCTGTCGCCTGTATCGCCCAATCAGGTGTTTCAGCATGCGCGGGACACAGTCATCCTGTACCAATGATACGGCAGTGACCTGGCAGTGACGTCGCAGTGAAGCGCATGTGGGGTGCCAGTGCCAGAGACATCTGTGTCTGTAACGAGTGCATGGTTGAGTGCGTGAGGCGAGGTGCGCGTTGGATTGAAAAGAAATATACTGCCACGGACTTGTGTCCTTATCGTACCATTTTTTTCGGAGGGGGAAATTGCCTTGGTTTCACCTTTTTGTGTAGGGCTATGCTGGGGCAGGTGTAGTGTAGATTTGGGGTGTAGTGTAATCCTCATGTAAGGATGTAGTTATCAATGTAGGCATGCAATGTACCGGTAAGGAAGTAGGAGCCTGCGCATACTGGCATTTGGGCTCTCAGGCTAGGCCTACCTAGAAACTACTATACCTACCACCAATCCCGGGGTGCAGCAGTCTATGCATGTAGGCTTTCATATTGGCCGTACCATAGCACGGAAGCTGGAAGTGTCTCATTCTGAAACTGCCTTGTCACTTCACAAGCCGTTGATCATGTTGGGAATAATAAGTCTTAAGCGCCTCTGTCGTGTCGAAACTCAGGACACTAGCGAAGCAGTCCGAATCGAAGCATCGCGAGTCAACCCTCGGAGGTTAGGGTAACCGCCTGGAGGTTACGAGAAGGTCAAAGGTCAGCGACCTTTGACTTGACAAATACAGCGCGACAGCAAGGACACACAACTGACTCGACATTGAGCAGTTGCCCGAGTCGCGCTGTATCGAATCGCAACAGTAAAACGGTTTTAACTTATCTATTCGTATTCCTTGTACTCTTATATAAACCTCTGTATTTGCTTGTTTAATCAACTTACTTTGCCCTCACATACTAGCGCAAGGTGGTTCAAGTACTTTCATTCAAACGCTTCCGCTACTACAATTCTACTTAGACTTAAACTCTACAAAGATCCTAGGGCACTTCAGCCCAACATGGTATGAGAGCAGTTAGAGTTTTAAAGTTGTTTTCCTTTTAACACTCAATACAAGAAGACATGTCTGCAAGGAAGGAGAGGAGCTCCTCCAACGGCTCTCCAGGCACTACTCCTACTCCACCTCCTGTCTCTGGTCTACAGACAGAGGAAGGGACTACCACGAGACCAGCAGCTGGGTCTACGGAAACGCCCGCAGGCTTCGATACAAGCATGATGGAAAAGTTCTTCTCCTTCATGTCCTTTTACGAGCAGCACCAGCAAGGAGCACCTGCGCAATCAAACAACAGCAACAACAACAACAACAACGTGACCCCTATGAGTCTCGATGGCTCATCATACGCACGCGGGATTCAACAACAACAACAACAACAACAGCCTACCTTTGCGCCATACGAGCCCCAGCGTGGCTCCGTCAGCTTCATGCCGCAACCGCAACCTGCACCAGGACAAGAAAGGGCATTGGATGTGTTACAAGTTCAATCGCAATTCGCGCATGTCTTAAAACTACAAACGACAAAGCCTTTCGACGGCAAAGATTTCTTCACCTGGTCGTTCGAGTTCGAACTGATGATGGAAGGAGCACAGATTCTCGGCTTCTTCGACAGGTCCCTGCCATATCCAACAAACGGGACGCAATATGAGAAGCAGCAATATACTTATCAATCGATGATGGCGTACACGATACTGCTGAGGAACATCACCCCGACCCAGCAGCAGAACATCAGGACTTACCGAGGCTACGGCAACTCCGCGGAGCTCGCGTACAACCACCTGAAGAACCTGTATCAAGCAACAGACAGCGTAAATCAAAGCATGTTAATGGCGCAGCTGACAACGATTGAAATGAAACCAGGCGAGAAAGGCATGGCTTATATCAGCCGCTGTCGCGAACTGCGCGACAAGCTTCTTCGATGCGGCGGGTCGATTTCAGAAGACGCCTTTGTCACGGTGGTCATCGGCGGTCTCGGCCCCCACTGGCGCTCCACTCGCGCCATATTACGAGCACACGGGAGGATTTCCGAAGCGGCACTCTGCGCCGAAACTCATGCTGATCAGCAAGACATGGATCTGCAAGAAGAAAGACACAAGAAGAAAGCATTAGCACCAGAGTTTGCGTTTCACACTCAGCGACGATACAACGGCAACAACAACCGTCAACAACAAGTAAAGACAGTACCTCCGTTCTGCCACATCTGCAAGACTTCGGGCCATCCTCGCACGCACTGTCCGTCTCGTCAGACAACACCACAGCGACAACTCCAGCCTTCAAGCTCCCAAGTTGCTTCAACGCAAGCAAGTCCGACGACCACAATCCAAGCTTCACCGACTTCAACTGGACAACCTGCACAAGGAACAAGAAGCATCGTCAATTGCATGGTGAAGATAACCGATTCGTGCACAACCAAGTCACCACCCCACTACTCACCGGAAGAAGAGCTCGACAACAGGACGCCTCGCCGCGAATCACTCCAGCCGAATCCGACGTACGCCGCCATCGCTCAAAGCGAACCATCCGGCCAAGACACTTGGTTCTTGGATAGTTGCTGCGGACAACACATGTGCTCCTTCGGGCGCTTCGTTCAACCCGAACATCGACTCCAGCGAGAAGTAGTCATCACGGTCGCCAACAATCAGAACCTGCGCACACGACGACAAGGAGCGGTAGAGCTTCAGTCACGAGAAACAAATGTCATATTACACATGTCAAAGGTACTTATCGCGGAGGGACTAGGCTACAACTTACTGAGTGTCAGCCAGTTGATGGCGAAAGGCATCCACTTGGAAGCCGATAGCACCACCCAGGAGTTTAAGTTATACCACGGGAAGGGCGGCCTCTACATCGGAAAAGCAGTGTTGAAGAATAACGTCTTCGTCCTCGATTTCGTCCCCGACCTGGGCACTGCAGACAGCGACGCCATCGTCAACTTCACCGACTGGACTCATCCTCCGGATCTCGATCCCGACTTCAGCCCAGGAGGTTTCTGGTACTCGCACACCATCCCTGAAGCAGAACGAACACGAGCATTAGCAACGATTCAACAAACGACAGCAGCAGACACAACATTGGCAGCAGCAGAGACAACATCGGCAGCAGCAGAACCATCATCGGAAGCAGCAGGACCAACGACACCAGTCATCGAAACACCACCAACACCCGCACAACAGCTGAACCCAACTCAACGAGAAGTCCACCGAAGCGCAAACATCGTCGCCAACTTCTACTCCAACTCTGACGCGTATCAACGCTCACCCGGACATCGCGCTCCTGAAGACATCTGGCACGCACGTACAGGACATCCAAGCAATACGGTGTTAAACAACACGATACGAGCAGGAGTTCTAGACAAGGATTCGCTACTACTACTCGACGGCAGAGAACTTCAACGTGCACGAGGGACTTGCCTCATCTGCCCCGAAGCCGACTTACCCCATCGACCGTTTTCCTCTCACCACAACCCGAGCGCACCTGCATACGCACCACTCGAGAAAGTTTATAGCGACATCCTCTACAATCGAGAACCAGGACAAGTCACCTACAATTACACGATCACCTTCATCGACGCCGCCACTCGATACGTCTGGCATCGCAACCTACCCACCCGCGACATGGCACTCGCAGCATTCGCCGCTTGGCTACTGGTAGTAGAGAGGGAATCAGAAACACAACTGAAAAGCTTCCAGTCAGACGGAGGAGGAGAGTACACCTCTCAGCGCTTCAAGCAGTACCTGGCGGAAAGAGGGATCAAGCAACTCCTCTCCCTTCCCTACGCACATCAGCAGCAAGGTGTAGCAGAAAGAATGAATAGGACTCTGCAGAACAGCATGCGCAAACTGCTACGTGGCATGCGGCTACCCAACCACCAGTGGCCTGCAGCAATGGACCATGCTGTCATGTTGCACAACTTGTTGTCGTCGTCGTCACTCCCGAACAACGCCTCACCGCATCTGCTGTGGACAGGGAAGCTGGGCAGCACAAGAATGTTACGAGTTTTTGGATGCATGGTACAGTACAGACCCCCAGAAGCACGAGCGCGAAGATTTTCACAACGGGCACAGTGGGGACTACACCTCGGCATCGAGAAACATTACAACGCGTGGAAAATCTTCGACGTCCACACAAAGGAAACAGTAGCAGCACGTGATGTAATCTTCTACGAGCGACTCACCCTTCAGACGTACCTCGCCAACTTGCATGAGAATCGGGACCTCACAGGTGGCTTTCGTGGTGACCGAGCCTTCGCCTCAGCAGCGGACGAAGCAGACTGGGATGAACAGAACGTCGACAACGCATCGGAAGAAGCCGGACCTCTCCCGTACTGCTCCGTCGACGTGCCCATGGACGAAGAAAATCCTCGCGACAGTAACAACGCCGAAGTCTTCTATCACTTCGCCGACAACGGTTACGTAACACCTGCGACAGTCAACACAAATGAAGCAGAAAGGATAGGGCCAAATTTCATACCCGATCCAGAAGCAGGAGACGAAGCAGCTTATCCCGAGGATACAACACTCCCCCGATACTCACAGACTGGGCTGCAAATCCTTGGTCTCGTCATCGCAGTCCACGGGAACACAGGAAGCACGCTTCCTAAAGAGCCTGCGACGGTTCAGCAGGCTCTGGGGGGGGAACACATGGAGAAATGGCGTGAAGCCATGGACAGGGAATTAAAAGCATTAGAGGAACGCAACACCTGGAAGGTCGTTCCCGCAAGCGTGGCACGGAACAAGACCATTCTCACCGGGAAATGGGTCTTCCGCATCAAGACGAAAGCTGACGGCACAATCGAGAAGTTCAAAGCACGCTGGGTCGTGCGTGGATTCGACCAGGAGCAAGGACGAGACTTCACCGAAACATTCGCCCCAGTCAGTCGACATACCTCTCTCCGAATCCTTCTCGCCGTCGCCGCCATGAAGAAGAAGAAGCTGCGACAAATCGATGTTGCCAACGCATTCCTCTACGCACCCGTCGACGCCGAAATCTTCGTCGAACTCCCACACGGCACTCACGGAAATCCTAATCAGATCTGCCAACTACTGAAATCGCTCTACGGAATCAAACAAGCCCCGCGACTG